ACAAAGATCAAAGCAAAATTAATGAAGTCATGTCTAAAATCACAACACAAAGGAGTAGTGAAGGAGATGGCTCTTTGGACAAACACATGGAAGAAACTGACATGACAGGAACTTGAAGAAATTTGAAGAGATCGTGGATAAACATAATGGAAAATCTCAAAGAGGACCTACCAAAATTGAGTTAAGGAGACAGAAAAACAAAATAAAGCCATTAATAACAAGTGCATCATGAGAGACTCTCTGGAGAAACAGAACAGACAGAGTGTATATATTATAAAAGTATTCATTAGGCTGGCTCATTCTGCAGTAGCGGCCACCTGCCTGATACAGTTGCTGGGACCTCCCAGCTGCTTATTTTTCAAAGTTGGACTCCACCAATAAAACCAAGTAGCAGCAAATCTAAACAATGCTGAGTAAAACATGTAAATAATACTGGTGCATAACTATGCTATTACTTTAGAAAATGTGGATGTAATAAATGATTTTCTATGATGACATAATTAGAATGCCAACTAGCAGATAATGCAGAAGATTAGGAGAAATGATGGGAATAGGAAAACTGTCACCAAACTTCATATTTTACACCTGAAGTCATCAGACTCTGACTTTACTGTCTTTTCAGTGTGAGGTTTTTAAGATCTTTAAGGCATAAACATTTGTGAAATTTGTTTCATGGTGTGGAAAAATGACAGCATCTCATTGTTCTTTTGAAGGCAGTCTCTATCCCAATTCCCAAATGTGAGCACATGTACATGCATGTGTGCACATCACATACATACATGTACACATTCAGTCATAAGACAGTGCCCAGTATGAATAGTGATACTAACATATTTACTAAAATGCTCTAAGGTGAATTCCAGAGGTGTATTAGAAAATAGAATATTGAAGCATGGTTTCTTATGAACAAGAATATGAATGTTCATATTCCAATATTTGTGATTTTTTAACACTGCCCATCAATGCACCTATAATAATCATCAGTAAAACTGTGTTGTGAGTAAGCCAAATGAATTAGTGAAATGATTGGATCTAGTAATTTGTGTGAAAAGCAGTGAGAGCCATTGAGAATTACATGTGTGGGCAGCTTTAGTAGACGAGTCAGTAATCAAGTTAGTAGTGGAACTCCCTGCATTTGCTTGGGACCTCAAATCCACTTAACCCATCCACACATACTCAAAAACTTAGCCGTGAATTTAGAACTTGCTCTGCGATCTCCAAGCTATAGACCCATCTTTCTGCCTCAGTTGTACTCTTGTGGCTTTCCCCTACTGAGTGATTGCAATGCAGCATTTGACCGTTTGCAAACACATCCTTACCATTTCACACTTTAGTCCCTTTGCTCTCTCAGCCCAGACAAATGCTTCACATCTTCACCTCCACGCTACTAACCCATATGTCCGTACTTAGAGGATGAATTGAGTCCTAAAAGAAATCAAAAGAGAGTTTCCAAAGCCACTCACATTGCTGACTGTTGCCATGTGTATCTCCCCTTCTCCCCAGAGCTTTTATTTGCGTTCACTATCAATGACCCTAACAAAGGCTGGTATTGTAGCCATGTTGTAGATCCTGTCCTGTTTTAAGGACATTGCTGCAGGACTATATATCGTTCCTAGTGCTTTAATTTTGTCTCTTCTCTGTTGTAGTTTTTCAGTGTATAAATATTTTCAAAGCAATAAACTCAACCTCCCTGCCGATGTCACATTTGTCTCTTTCAGCTGCCCCAGTGTGCCTTCTCTTGCTTTATACTGGGTTCACTCCACTACTTCACTAAAAGTCATCATGATGTCCCTGTTCTCAATTTTGAGTCTCCATCCTATTGATCATTGAGCAGCACTTCATTAGGCTGAAGATTTCCTCTACCCCGGCTTCACTGCTCACACTTCTGGCTGTGTCCTTTCCTTAGGGGAACTCATCCTGCCAATTGGATGATGTTTTTGTAATGAATGCCCACATAAGAACGTAGAATGCTTTCAAATATATAACTTAATAAAAATAATGACATATCATAACCAAAATTAACAGAAGGAAATAACAAAATCAGAGAAAAATTAATGAAATCAAGTCTAAAATCACAACCTGAAGGGACAGTGAAAGAGATGACTCTTTGGACAAACAGATTGAAGAAACTGACATGACAGGAACTTGAAGAAACTTGAAGAGTTGGGTTTAGAAGAATGTGGATAATCCAGATGTAGATCTACCAGAATTGAGATGATTGAGATGATGATGAAATAATGTTGCACTTACATACATATCCTGTGAGGTCTTCGTCTTCCCTTGGATCTTTGAGTTACCTGCACAGCTAACTCAAAGATAGCTGTGCAGGTCAGGACCCAGGATCATCACTTTGGACAAACTCACTCAAAACTTTTCCATTTCTGAAAGGCAGCCATTTGCTTTTCAGTGCTCAGATTAAAAATCATGATAGTTCTCCTCACTTACCTTTCTTTCTCTTACATATTAATTCTGAAAAAATCTTAATTGTACCTTTCTAAAATTTGCAGAGATTGCTCATTCTTCCTGTCTTTCCTGGCATAAGAAACCCCTAGAATTAACTTCAGGCTCCATTCCTTGTAGCCTCTTACCATCTCTATGATGTACCAACAACACAGCCAGCTGCTCCCAAAGACTTGAGACTTTGTACTGTCATCAGTATTAGACTGTTCACTAAATGGCCTGCCTCCCCACTGTCCTGTACTTTTTTGCCTGATCTCTTACTGTTCTGTCCCCTGACTCCTGTAGCAACACAGAATTATTTATTATTCCTTGAGCACATGAAGCTTCTTACTCCCCCAAGGTCAATGCCCTCCAGGATTTTCCCAGATGTGACTTTCTTTGCATGACTTCGCCTGGGTTTCTTGTGTTAAGAATTTCTGCTTGCTTCTACCTGTTTTCCTCCTGTATCACGCTTTCTTGAGATTTTGAAAAAAACAAACACCATGTAACCTATTTACTTCATAAATTGTCCTTATTTATTTTAATATACTGTGATAGGTCCAGACAGCTGCGGAACCTGCATGGGACTGAAATAGGCTCTTTGAATGTGGGTGACAGTTACGTGACTTCATCTGTTGGGAGGTGGCCCTGGTAGTGGGACCAGGGCTTATCCAGAGTTCATGAACTGGATTTTTGTATCTTATTCCCTAAAGTGAAAAATCTTGATACAAGAGGGAGAGGCTTGGTCCTGTCTCAACTTGATATGCCAAACTTTGTTGACTCCCCAAGGAAGGCCTTACCCACTTTGAGGAGTGGATAGAGGATAGGAAGGGGAGGGGTAGGGGGACTGGAGAAGTGGGGGTGGGGGAATTTGAGTTGGTATGTAATATGAAAAAAACTTATATAAAAGCAATTTAAAAAGAATAACTTTTAATACTCTACAGTGCAGTATGATTGTTAATACTTTATTTTGTGTTTAAAAACCACTAGAAGACGTGACCACAAAAGAAGTTATCACCACAAAGAAATGATAAATGTTTTATGTAGTGGGTATGCTCATTATTCAAATTACCTTTTTATAGTCATTAAAATAGACATTATACCACAAATTCATACATTTATTATAATAGCAATTAAAACTAAATGTAAAAAGTAGCCTTCGGTTTGTGGTTTGTGGATGGCCAGTCTGATATTTTCTCTTCTTCTTCCTTCTTCTCATGTTTTTGTGATCATATTCACACACCTCTCACTCTGAATCATCCTGTTTGACTTTCCATTATATCTCCTTCCTCCTTTTCTATTCATTTCTTTATTTTTAATCCACTGAGTCCAGTGAGTGCTGACATTGGTCCATAGGTGTGAGGTCATTGACTGGAGCATGAGAAACCTACAGTGGCCACAATTCTAAAGAAAAGAGACTCTATCTTTCATAGAAGCCATCAATTCCCAGTAATGCCTCAGTCAGGCATAAGCCCTTGGAGCATCCCTTTCATGCTAGAATTTTTAGATTTTAAGATGTAATTTTAATAACTTTTCCCTTTTCCTTTCCTCTCTCTAGCTAGCCTTTCCTTTACTCCCCTCCTCCCTATCAAATTGATGTCTTCCTTTCCTTTGATTATTGTTGCTATATGTATGTATGTGTATGTATGTAGATCTATGCATAGACATATGTGTATAACCTGTGTCTATTTTTGTTGCATGTGTTTATATGATTTCAGGGCATACTAACCACTTTGTATTGGATAACCAATTAGGGGCTCATGCTTGGAAGAGGCTCTCGGCAGTCATTAGTGCCTATAGTTCTTTGTCTAGACGAGCATGCCATGAGATTTCATCCTCCTAAGTTATAATATGAAATTTTTACCAGCTTGATCTTGCACAGATCTTGTGTAAGGTCATAACAAGTACTGTGAGCAACAGTCATGTCACAGCCAGAAAACAGAATTTCACACAATCCTTCCCATTCAGAATTTCTTACATTCTTGCTGTCTCTCTTCTCTGGTTCTCTCTGAGCCTTAGGGATGGTGGTGATAGTGGTGTGGTATAGTTGTCTTCCTAGGGCTGAGCACTCATAGTCACTATTTTCAGTACTTTGCACAGTCCATCTCTCTACATTAGCCACTACCTACTGCCACTTAGAAGCTTCTCTGGCCAAGACTGAGAACAACATGAGTCTGTGGATGCAAACATAAATATTTAGAAGGTATGATCATTTAGTAAAACTACATCATTTTCCTCTATGGTCTATGAATTTTATAGCCATGACTTTTGACCATGTTAATATCATCAGACATGAATTACATTTTCTTTCCTCCTTCCCCCAGCCCCATTTTCCCATTCCCACTTCAATCTTTAGCTCCCAGTGTTCAACCTGCCCTCTCATATCACATATGTTCTACTATCTCCTGATGTTTGTTACATGTCTTACTTGGAATGTCTGGTTGTATTTTCTAGGAAGAGTAGAACCTGTGTGTCTACTCAATCTCTCTGAAGACAGCAGCTAAGGTAGACATTGTTGAACTTTACCTTTGATGTGTCCCTTGTGGCTCTTTTCTATGAAGGTATCTGGAACTGGAAAGCAGTGGCCATCGGAATGAGATCAGACTGCATTACCGCTCCGGCACTCACCGTCCTCACACAGAAGTCTTTCCTTATATTTTGGCTGATGCCAAGTGGCACAAGCTCTCCTTAGCCATCAGTGCCTCCCATTTAATTTTACACATCGACTGCAATAAGTAAGTGAGTCACTGTCATTTTAAGAATTGGAAGACTCTAAAAGAGATTCCTGTGTGCTCATGGCCTTTCTCTGATACTCTGTCTTCCAGAATCTATGAACGAGTGGTGGAAATGCCTTCTACAGACTTGCCTCTGGGCACTACGTTTTGGTTGGGACAGCGAAATAATGCACATGGATATTTTAAGGTATTTTTGGCTCAAGTCTAAGCATGAGTTAGAAATGGAAATACTCTCTAATGAGATGGCAAAAGTACCTCTCACTTTTTATGGCATGAAACAAAAATTCTGTTTGTGTGCTTATATTTGTATGTATTTCTATTTCTGTTTCTTAGAGCATTTTTTTTTTTTTAAATTTTGGTTTGGTTTCAAGACAGGGTTTCTCTGTGTAGCTCTGGCTGTCTTTGAACTCACTCTGTAGACCAAGCTGGACTTGAATTCACAGAAATCTGCCTGCCTCTGCCTCACAAGTCCTGGGATTATAGACATGAGCCACCACTGTCTGGCTTTCTTAGGGCAATTTAGTGATTATTTTTATTTATGTCTGCAAGAGAGTGTTTGATCGCTTGCAGTTATAGATGGTTACGAGATGCCATGTGGGTGCTAGGAATTGAACCTGGGTCCCCTGAAAGAGCATACAGTGCTCTTAACCACTGGACCATCTCTCTCGGCCCATCTTAGAACATTTTTAAACTGGCAAAAATCACTCCCCATTTGCATTTAATCATTATATATTACAGAGATGACAATCAGGCCACAATTAACAGTATGTCATTCTTGAAATTAAGAATTCAAAATAGTAAAAAAAGAAAAATTTGACACAGAAATAAACATTCTACCATGGATATGTCACCCCTGATGATGCTTTTAAACGGACATCAGTAACCTGGGGTTGGAAACATTAGTCACAGTTCCCTCATGCACCAATCCCTTAAAACAGAAAGCGGTTAAATTTTATCTCTAGTGAAAGCATAGAAGCAGTCAGAATTTCCTCACTGGAGAGGATCAAATTGTGTCCCAACCAAATTCCTGGAAGTCTTGAGGCTGAATAAATAAAGGCCTGAGAAATGCTTACCTGCTGCTTCTTGTGTGAACATTTTCCCATTGCTGTGACCACGGTTACATCAGAGAATGAGAGGGATGTCCAGCCTGTGTACTTAGTGAGCAAGGAGGCACCTGTCAATTTAAAATTCTAAGCCCAGTATATAATGTTAAAGTTTGAAAGCTTAAAATGACCTGTTCTCTGGAAACTGGACGGTTTGACTATACTATTTCCTTTAATCCCTCACTTTGAAAATGTTGATGAGGGTCTTTCCCCCCTTCTTATAAATATACATCAACCTACCCAGAGAGCTGAAGTAACCTGGCCAAAGCCAGGCAGCTAATAGATGGCAGATGTGGGTTATTGATTCCTCTCTTTAAAACTCTAAAAATCAATGTCGCTTCTCATGCCATGGATAGTAGCTGCATGCTGTGAGGTCCACATCTCTCTCTATTTAATTATGGCCGTCTTGGAACCCAGATGTGGCCTCACAGTCTCCACACATCAATCATTCGTATGTGACTTGCCGTCTTTACTGTGGTCTGATAACAGTGCCCTAAGAAGTGTGCATCGCCGTAGCTGCACACTGTTCACACCAGCCTGACTTTCCTCCTGCTCCCGTCACAGCATGGCTTCACCCAAGCTTCTTCTGTGTAATCCCAAATCAAGAACAGATCTAGTACTTGTCACACTGTACTCCAAAAAATGTCGCTCACATTGACACACGTTGCTAATCACAGTAAATATGTAGAAGAAACACAGATTACTATTTGGGTCGTAAATCTCAGGCTGTTATGCTCCTCATAGCATATTGTCACAGTCACCCATCATGAGACTTTCCGCTTTACAGTTTTCAAGAGGATAAAGTTAAATGCAATGAAAGTACACAAAGTTGTTAAGAGACGGGACGGTGGGGAAGAGGGAAGGCTGGAGTATATTAGATGAGGTTGTTTCTATGACCACTGGCCTTGCTTTGAGTCCATCAAGCTAGCAGCCTAATGGCTAAGGGGGCATGTAAATGTGAAGCCATCTGTGTAAAGTGGGTCATTTGCAGCTGGCATTTAAATAGCTTCATGCTAAACTCTATGCATTCCTAAGTTAAAACAAGCCTTGCTTTACCCACTTACTAAATCCATCATCCTTTCGGAATCAGGAGATCAACTTAAAAATACAAAAAGCTCAGTGAAAAAACTGAGGAATGTTCAAGTGGGTGCAGCTTTTCCTGACTTGGTTTGTCCACCCCTTTCTTTTTCATCATTGTTAATATGAAACTGGTCTCAGGTCTGTAGTGATAAAGCCGAAAGTGATTTATATGTTGATTCTTAAAGGTCACTTTAAAGCCCTGCTTCTGTGGTGAACTAAAAATAACTTCTCAAAACAATAAGACTATGGCCACATCCTGGATCTTGACATTTAATCTTTAAAAACATCGTCAAGGAGAAACTACCTAGGTAATTCTGTTTTGCCTGATGAATCTTCTTTCCTGGCATGGGCTGGTTAGGAATATACCTAGGAAGGTACTAGAACCAGGGGTTTGGATAAATCTGTTCTTTACTATTTTCCCTCATAATTTAGATAAATCAAAATTATGCTTCTTTCTTTTTTTCATATGTAGGGAATAATGCAAGATGTGCAATTACTTGTTATGCCCCAGGGGTTCATCGCTCAGTGCCCGGATCTTAACCGAAGTAAGTCCATTAGTCCCGCACTGTATGTTGTGATGGAAAGTGTGCCTCCTGCTTTGTTTTATCCAGAATGCCAGTTTGAGATTGGAGTGCACACATACTGGATGTCAGTGCAGACTTAATCAGATCGAACCCCCTATAAATAAAACTTGGTCAATGTCCTGTTTATAATTGCAGCCTGTCCAACATGCAATGACTTCCATGGACTTGTACAGAAAATCATGGAGCTGCAGGATATTTTATCCAAGACATCTGCCAAGGTAAAAAAATGACTCAGAAATATACTGAGAATGCTCCACAATCATGTGATTCCCAATAGCTCCTTTTATCACCATAGATTTTCATCTTTGAGACATTACTTATACAATTTACCGGAACTAAATTGTAATTTTTGCTCAAGGAAAAGGGTTATAATGTTTATTAAGGTTTATAAATATTTAAATTCTAGCCATCTGTATAACAAATGACTCAGTAAATCAGGAATGGAACAGAATACCTGTTTTATACTCTGCTTTACTGCTGCAAGATCTAGCATTGCCTAGTTTTTATTTATTTCTTATTATATAATAATATTATTTTTAATTCTTTTGCATTACTCATTTATTATTATTATTATTCATTATAAGTAAGGATGTGGAAAGACAGTGTAAAGAATATGAATATCATACTTGAGCCAAGAACAGTATTTAGCTGTTATGCTGGATTTACAGGCTCATTCAGTAAAGGCATAAGCACATACATACCAAGTCAAATGACATGCTCACCAGATTTTTAAACTTTGCATAGTACAGAAGGATTTTCTGAAGGCTTTGTGTGTGTTGTTATTTATATGATGAAAATTCTATTTTTTAACTTGAGTAAACATTAATGGAGTTAAACAATTTAAAAAAAATGAAAACCTCTTCCTTGCATTATGGATGGTGTTATTCTGAATTAGCCTCAATTTACGTCTTGCAAATTGCAACTTTTGTTTAAAAGTAAACTTTTTGTATGTAAAGAGTTGGGAAATGCTCCTATAAAATTTTACAGACTTTCCTTACTTGTAATATTTGTGATGGCTTAATCTATTTATATTAATCAGTGATGGGCACAGCCCATTGTTACTGCTGTTCACCTAACACTATTAAATGCCTGCTAGAGTACTCCATGTTTCCAAGTAGCTGTAACAGCCAGCCCTGTCTTTGTGCTGTAGTTGTCTAGAGCTGAGCAACGAATGAACAGGCTGGACCAGTGCTATTGTGAGCGGACATGCACCATGAAGGGAAACACCTACCGAGAGTTTGAGTCCTGGACAGATGGCTGTAAGAACTGCACATGCCTGGTATGTCTTCCATTCACAGTCACAGGGGACTCAGATGACCCCACTGTTGAAATATTTATTAAGACAATGTAGTCATGAAAATTTCAAGACCTATTTTCTCTAAATGCAACACTAAAATGCCAGCAAACCTGGTCACTTCTGAAGAACTGTGTGTTACATTATTAAAGACTCTCTAGCTGTAACAGTGGTTTGATTATGGTCTGAGGATGCTATGAAGCTTATCTGGCATACACAAAGTTAGCAATTCAAATTAGGTTAGCAAGGCTATTCTCAAGGGAGCCTATCCTATAACCCTTAGCATTTCTGGGGAATTCTCCCCTGTGTTTTTATTAATGAATTATAAAGAAACCAAATTATATAGAGTATTAAATACTGTGTCTAGACTGAATAATATAAATAATGGATTTTAAATCATCTTTAATACTTGGCTAATGTAGAATACACACTACACAGTTTAAATAAATGTGACTTTATTTAATTCTCACTAATAAATTATTTTTAGGGTATTATTATTTCAAAACCATATTCATGTTTCAAAGAAAGCTTCTCAGCAAGTTTGGTTTTAAACTTTCAAACTCCACATGAACTCATCTGGTACAAAGCTAGATTTCTGGGAAGGAGCAATAGGTCTATTTGAGTCAGCTTTTTGAAATGTGTCCTCATAATCACCAATTGATTAAAAAAAAGAATACCATGTACATAGAGAAGATGCAAAGTGATCTGTATGTGAATTCATCTGTGTGTTTGGGGGGGGAGAATGTCATTGGTGTGGTTATGTGTATATGTGTGTACCATTGTGTATATGCACATGTGTGTTTGCATCTGTCTGTGTATGCGTGCAAGCACACGTGTGAGCATCTTTGTGTGTGTGAACATACATGAGTGCATCTGGGTGGGAGTTTGTCCGTGTTCAGTGGGCATGCATATAAAAATAATGTGATTTTTATTCAAGATTACAATATAATAATTCTATAACACTGTTCAATTATAGTGAAACATTACAAAACAGGAGCAGAAATCTAAGTCAAATTATAGGGTTGAGTCAGAGCAGCTAGATGGGAGGTTGGTGTGTGAGTAATCCAGCGGTAGTAATGTGTTTCAGGCTAACCCCCAACTTGCTGGTTCTTTGTGGGCTTGTGTCCTTCTCCGCTACCCTATGGAAGGTGTAGATTTGCTTAGTAAAGATCAGTTCCTGAGAAAAAGTGGGAACCAACTCAAAGGTTAAAATGCAGCCAACATTACTGCAGGTCACCACATTATGGGTATTGATAAAGAAAAGGGTGACATTTTCTATGAAGAGCTTGAACTCTAGGAAGTGCATTTAAAAGCCTCTGAGGAGTATTAAATTCCTACATGGAATTTCTTTAAACATTGCTTGCTTTTCAGAATGGGACCATCCAGTGTGAGACCCTGGTCTGCCCTGCTCCTGACTGCCCTCCTAAATCGGCTCCAGCATACGTGGATGGCAAGTGCTGCAAGGAATGCAAATGTAAGTATAACTTTGCTGATCGATACTTTCTTTGGAAAAATACAGCTCTGTATGAAAAATGTTGTATTGATCTCTTTAATCTGGACAAGTTAAATTCATTCAGAAATGATATATTTTCTATTTTGGTGATCACTTTTACCTGCTTCTACTCTAGAAGGACATTTTAATTTTTCTTGGAAGACTTGCACATAGCAATAGAAGTAGGAGAGATACACGAGACACTCTGTGGTGGGCATCTGCCGTTACATTGCTTAAAACAAATTCCTACCAAGTAGATAAAGAGGTGTGTATGCTCACTTTTCCTTGTATCAAGGAAGTCTGTGACTCAAGTTACTTTGGGCAGCAGGTGACATATGGCTGCTCTATTATTCAAGTCAGTGGAACCCACTTACATAGTATCACTCAGTGTGTGTGTATGTGGGGTGCTGTTGGGGTTATCTTGACCTTAATCAAAAATAAAAGAACAACAACAATGAGAGTACTTGCACAGCTATGTGAGGAGGTTTTGCTGCCTTTTATCACACTGTATATGAAGTTCATTTCTGAAGTTTAAAAACATTTTTAGAATCCTTTGTATCCTTAGATGTGCTCTAGATCACTCACTCAGTCACAGAAATCCATCCATGTGACTTATTTCTGAAAAGACTTCTTAAAAAGAGCACTTTGTTGTTGTTGTTTTATTTGCTTGCTTGTTTTTTGTTTTTGTACAAAGAGTCACATATGAACACTGACTTGTTAACTGATGTGTGTAGCACACATAAGGGGAGAATGGGGGTAGGAGACAGAGAGACAGAAGGAATGTAGGGGACAAGGCATGCGGGAAGATGCAACCACTGTTTTAGTGTGGGATTTGTGGGTGCAGATCTTCCTTGCCCTTGTACAACTGACACGAGTCTACACCATGTGCATATACTCCATACATCATCATGGAGACATCAGTAAGTTGCCCATATACCACTGCTTTAATTTTCTCTTGAGCTCATTTCACATGCTCACACTGGCCCAGCTAAATAGTTTGAGAGGAGCCAGGAAGATACGGGCACAACATTTTAAGCATCTTAATAAAAACAGTGCATGTATAATATTCAACATAGACAATAAAACAGGAAAAGTACATCTTAATCACCCTCACTCCCTTAGAGTTTAGTTCTTGTGTGCTTTGCCAAGTGACTTTTCTCATGCCTGCTCACGTATGACTGTGTGGGCTTTCTCTATGCTGAGAATGGTGTCATTCATTTCCTTGACTCTCTGTATTAATGAGGGATGCTGAGCACATTCCCATATCGGTTAGACATTGCTGCATATTATTACACCATAAAGCTTGCTGTTACTCTGTTTCTTCCTCTCAAAGGCTATGTAGTACTTTCTTTTTCCCCCTTATGAGCAGCAATATGATGTCATCCATACAGAAACTTGATGCACTTTTTATGGCTTTGGCATAGTGCACACTGTTAAGGGTGATGTTGCTGCATCAAAGCTGGTATAGTACTTTATAATTTATATGGCCAGCTCTTTCCAGTTCACTCCACAAAATATGGACCTGCTTGTTTCTTCCTTTAGTGAGGGAGCATTACTACCAGGCAGTCCTGGAGAAGCCTGGGCACAACACTTTTCTGTTCCACTGGGTTGTTAAAGGGCACTGTTAGGGGTGTTGCACCCCCATGACTCCTAGGAACTTTACAAGATAATGCTGATTCACGGGACATCTTTTAATAAGAGGGGACCCACGAAGCCCAAGCATGTTTTCTTTATCTGGTAGGATTATTGTTTTAATGAATTGCAGTTCCTCATATTCAGTACATTCTGTTGATGGCGTGTGAATATCCTCGATTCATGCTTTTTGAAATAAGAGTAGTTTTGCAGAAGACAGCACAGGGTGCTGCCCTTTGATCCAGGGCACTATGCTGCACCTGCTCAATCATGGTCTATTCTAAAATAATGGAGAGCACTGAGCTCCCGGCTCTTCAGTCTGAATTGCAATTTCTCTTCATTATTAAAATCCTTGAATAAATGTATTTTGTGGGTTTTATTATTTTTCACACCCCATTACATTTTCTCAAAAGACTTTCTCTGTCCATGTAATGACATTGCTTAAATGGGCTAGAACTCTTCAGAAGAGAGCTTTATGTAAATGTCTATAATAATAATTAAATCAAACTGTCTAGTGTAGTACTAAAGGAAAAATGGGATTATTTTTTTTAGGTGATCAGAAAGCTAGTCTTCTCAGTAGTATGATACTTTGAAACAAGTGAGAGGATTTCCCATTTGTCCCAAGCCAGAGAGCAATAATCTAGACATCATTCATACCAGATGCAATTTAAGATGGAAGAAAAACACTTAAGCAGAAAATGCAGTTTCTTATCTTGAGAGTTGTTAGGTAATTGTTTTAAAAATGAGCTTATTTTATTCTCAATAGAGATTTACAAAATTCCATTTTGAAACAGAATAGGGAAAATACAACATATGCAATTTTAAGCATCTTGGATAATCATGTGCAAAGTAGTGAGTTAGGATGGCATAAGTTCGGATGGCATAATAAAGGTAAATGGACACCAGAGGGCCCGCTGGAGACTGAACCTGCACACCTCCATCCTTGGAACAAGTGCCAGGCAATCAGGTGTACAGGACTCTCCATGGATGTCTGATACACATTCGATGCTCTGGTTTTCTGTACATATTTACAAAGTGTAAAGTATTTACAGATCAAGAATTAAAGGAGTCTGGCCTAAGGGAAGGGCAGAAAGGAATTCTCTTTTTCCATTTAGAAATGGTTCCTAAGCAGTGAAGTTTAAGAGCATCTTTGTTTATGCAAAAGCTGGCTTCAAGTTTAAAAAAAATCACAGTAAAATACAAACAAAAAATTTTTAAAAAGTGTTGCTGGACATGACGTTGGTAAGAATGGAGCAGCATCCAAATTGGGAGCCTATAGTTAAGGCTACCTTATGGACCAGAATGGCAGATGCAGCAGCATCCCAAGCCCTGTTGGGTCCCCACCCATACAAGTGTACAGATTATATAAGGCTTTGTTTCTGAAAGGCAACACCATTCCCTATTACTGGTCTACTGTGTTTATTAGAAACCAGGAAATAGGGTCTCTGGACAAAGGCATAGAGCAAATACAGGGTTTTAAGGTCTGAGGTTCAGACCTTGGGAGGTGAGGTTGTTTTGTAGATTAATCCTATAGATTAAGTAACTTTTACAATTCACACTAGCCCTGATTTATAAGTATCCTTTAAGTGTGGAAACTGGTGTCTTTCAGAAACTGCAATAAGCTCAGTAATTCAGGAAAGATAATTTTAAGCTCATGGATGATGACAGATCCTATACAGCTAAATACTTAAAACTGTTTTTTTCTTTTTATTCATTCCATGCATCTTTGTCTTTTATATCATGTATCTTTATCCCATTCATTTCCCCATCCCTTTGCATCTGCCCTCTGCCCTTGCACCCCTCCCAATAAAATAAAATGTTAAAAAAAATGAAAAACAGAAAAAAGGGAAAAATTTAAAATCTTGTCATGGAAGCTGCAGTGTGACACAGTGAGTCACGAAGTAAACCTCTTTGTCCACGTAGCTTTACATGCAAGTGTTCCCCATTGGTCTGGTTTGAGGCCTCTGGTTTCTACTACACTATCAATGCTGGGCCCCCACTAGGACTCTTCTTGGATATCTTACTGTTGTCCTGTGTTGTGGAGATCATGCAGCTTTGGGTCTTTGGGTGAGGTCCCTAACTGTGCTCCAACAGATCATAGATGGGTGGGTATTGGGGTGGGCCAAGTTGAAAAGCTGCTTTTGGGCCTAGGCAGCTGCAGGGTTGGCCTGCCAGCCAGTTCTTTCCTGTCCTCACCACCAGGGTGAGCTCTCCAGCATTCCCTGGCTAATTCACCTCTTTAGCAACTGTAGGCGGGTAACATCAATGGTTCACAACATGGGTAATTTTGCAGAGACCTAAGTTTTTGCCAGAGAACTTGTAAGGTCTGGACACAGGACCCACCAATGACCTCAAATTTTAATCAGACTGTGAACAAGTTTGGGATCTCATTAATAAAATTAAAATTCTGATTCAGTGTGGGATGAGACCTGGGCATGCCCATGGCCAACAAACTCTCAGCTGATTCCAACATTGCTTTGATTAGCAAAGAGTTAGCTAGTGGGTGTTTCATATTCCACACTTAGCATATCTCATGTGCTGAAACAATGTCCTAGATTTTCTGATTGTCTGTTATCCCACTGTATGCCCCCCACTTTAAGTCTCAAATGTGTATTAAGCTATCCAAATATATGTTTTAGCGTTTATGTTTTAAGCTGACATATGAAAAACGGTTCTGAGTATGAGAACTTACTATGAATCATCCATTGCCGTTCATAATGGTGCCCCGTTGCTAGAGATCAGAATGCAAGCTCACTTGCTCACCCAAGTGAAACAGCATCTTCATCAATTGTCCATATATTTATTTGTTTGTTTTCTTATAATCACTGCTCTGAGGCATGAAATCTTTCACTAGTGAAATACAAAGTCAGTGTAGATGGAGAGCTGAGTTTGTGGTTCTTTGGGTATGGAAAGGGTCCTATGATAATCTTTATATCTTCCATGCTCAAAACACATGTAGGAGTTTAATCTCCAGTGTCAAGTAGTAAGAGCACTGACTATGGTGTTTACAGGTAGGGCCTTGGGGAAGTGATGAGGATTACACAAGTTCATTAGGTAAACCTCCATGACCAAACACTTATGGTTTTTTTTAGATGCAGGGCTTGAAGCCGCACACATGTGGTTCTCAACTCTTGTCATGGATGGTGCCCTATAGCACCTCAAGACTTCTCCACAAAGAGGACTTTTCTGTTCAGCTCTTGATCTTGGTTCTGTGTACTATGAGCTACAAAAGAATCTCTTTTCTTTACAATGTACCCAGTACCCAGTCTGTGTCACTGTTCTATTAGCCACATTAACTGGAAAAGTGGAGGGCAGGGGCACAGCATAAGAACTGACATACTTGAAAGGTT